CCCCAATTACAAAAAAAAAAAAAGAAAGATATTACAACTGATATATACCACAGAAATACAAAGGATTATAAGTGACTATTACAAACAATTACACACTAATAAGTTGCACAACCTAGAAGAAATGTATAAATTCCTAGAAACATAAACTTAGCAAGACTGAATCATGAAGAAATAGGAAATCAGAACAGACTGATTATTATTAGTAAGGAGATTGAATCAGTAATCAAAAATCTCTCATCAAACAAAAGTCCAGGACCAGATGGCTTCATTGGTGAATTCTAGCAAACATTCAAAGAATTAATACCAATCCTTCGTAAAATCTTCCCCCAAAAATAGAAGAGGAGGGAACTCTTGCAAACTCATTTTACAAGGGCAGCATTACCCTGATACCAAAATCACACAAGAGAAAAACAAATTACAGGCCAATATCCCTGATTAACACAGACACAAAAATCCTTAAGAAAGTACTAGCAAACAGAATTCAACACTTTAAAAGGAATCATACACCATGATTAACTGGGATTTATTCCAGGGATGCAATAATGGTTCAACATCCACAAACCAGTCAATGTGATACACCACATTAACAAAATTGAGGATAAAAATCATATGATCATCTCAATAGATGCAAAAAAACCCCCCAAAACATTTGGCAAAATTCAATATCTATGATAAAAACTGTCAACAAAACAGGTACAGAGGGAACGTACCTCAATATAATAAAGGCTATATGTGACAAGCCCACAGCTAACATCATAGTCAATGGGGAAAAGCTGAAAGCTTTTCCTCTAAGATCATGAACAAAACAAGGATGGATACCCACTCCTGCCGCTTTTATTCAACATATTATTTGAAGTCCTAGCCTGAAAAATTCGGTAAGAAAAAGAAATAAAAGGCATCCAGATTGGAAAGGAAGAAGTAAAACTCTCACTATTTTCAGATGACATGGTATTATATATAGAAAACCCTGAAAAGTCCATAAAAAACTTTTAGGACAAATAAATGAATTCAGTAAAGTTGCAGTATACAAAATCAATACACAAAACTCCAATGAGTTTCTATACACTAATAATAAACTATCAGAAAGAGAAATTAAGAAAATAATCCATTTATAGTTATATCAAAAATAATTTTTAAAACCTAGGAATAAATTTAACCAAGGAGGTGAAAGACCTGTGAAAGACCTTGAAAACTACAAGAAATTGAAGAAGACATAAATAAATGGAGAGATACAAGGTGTAATGAAAAAAATACTGTAGATGGTGCTGCCGAGTGCTATACAATGGAAAAGCAGGGATCTTCAATACGGGAAGTGGTGCGTTGAATCTTAGTAATGGTGTGTGACAAGTTTTGACTTGTTTGGTGCCGTCAGTCGGATGTGAGCTATGGTTGAGAGAAGGTGTGTTTTAAAGTGTGCTGTAAATCATCTTCCATCATGACAACACTCTGTGTCACACGTCGCTTCCAGTATATGGCAATTTCTGTCAAAGAAAAACATTACGGTGTGTCCTCATCCACCTTATTCACTGGATCTGGCACCATACAACTTCTGGCTCTTCCCCAAAGTCAATATGACCATGAAAGGTAACTGTTTTGAATCGATTCAGGACACTGAGGCAGCCACGACAGCAAAACTAAAGACACTCATATTAAGAGGACTTCCAGAACTGCTTCAGAAAGTGTCAAGAATTATTGTATAAGTGTGTTCAAAGCAAGGGGGAGTATTTTGAGGGGGATTAATGGCAATATGTCTGTTACTGTAATAATATTTTTAAATTTAAACGTTCACCATATTTTTTGATCATACTTCGTACACTGTGATCATGAATTGGAAGAATTATTAATAATATTGTTAAAATGTCCTTTCTACCCAAAGTGATGTACAGATTCAATGCAATCCCTATCAAAATTCTACTGGCATTTTCACAGAAATAGAAAAAGCAATTCTAAAATTCACATGAAACCACAAAAGACCCTGAATAGTCAATGCAGTCTTGAGAACAAAGGACAAAGCTGGAGGCATCAGATTTCTAGATTTCAAACTATATTACAAAGCTATAGTAATAAAAACAGCATGGTACTGGCATAAAAACAGACATACAGATCAATAGAACAGAATAGAGAGCCCAGAAATAAACCCACACATATATGGTCAAGTAATTTTTGAAAAGGGCATCAAGAACACACCATGGGGAAAGGATAGTCTCTTCAATAAATGGTATTGGTAGAATTGGATAGCCACACGCAAAATAATGAAACTGGTACCCATCTTACACCGCTCACAAAAATTAACTCAAAATGGATTAATGAATTAAATGTAAGACTTGAAATTGTAAAACTCCTAGAAGAAAACAGGGGAAAAGCTTGATATTGGTCTTGCCAATGAATTTTTGGATAAGACACCCAAAAGCCAGACAAAAAAAGAAAAATGAAGAAGGACTACATTAATCTAAAAAGTTTCTGTACAGCAAAGAAAATAATCAAAATGAAAAGGCAACCTACAGAATGAGAGAAAATATTTGCAATCCATATATCTGAAACTTATACAACTCAATAACAAAAAGCAAGACAAAACAAAAAAACTCCAAATAACCTGATTTAAAAATGAGCAAAGGACCTGAATAGGTGTGTTTTCCAAAGAACACATACAAAAAGCCAACAGGTACATGAAAATGTGCTCCACATCACTAACCATCAGGGAAATGCAAATCAAAACCACAATGAGATATCACATCACATTTGCTAGGATGGCTTTTATCAAAAGGGCAAGAAATAAGTATTGGCAAGGATGTAAAGAAAAGAGAACCTTTCTACACTGCTGGTGGGAATGTAAATTAGTGCAGCTGTTACGAAAAGCAGTATGGGCGTTCCTAAAAAAATTAAACATAGAGCTACCATATGATCCAGCAATCCCACTTCTGAGTACATATAAGAAGGAAACAAAATCACTATCTTGAAGAGATAGCTGTACTCCCATGTTCACGGCAGCATTATTCACAATAGCCAAGATAAGGGAACAATTTAAGTGTCCATGGATGGAAGAATGGATAAAGCAGGTGTGCTGTATACATGTAATGGAAATCCTGCCATTTGCAAAACCATGGATGAAACTAGAGAACATTATGCTAAGTGAAATAAGTCAGGCAAAGACAAATAATGCATGATCTCATTTATATGTGGAATCTAAAGAAAAATGGAACCCACAGAAGAAAAGAATTGAATAGTGGTTACCAGGGGCTCAGGGGTGGGGGGAAATGGGGAATGTTGGTCAAAGGGTACGAGCCTTCAGTTATAAGATGAGTAAGTTCTGGGGATCTGATGTACAGCATGGTGACTTCAGTTAATGATACTGTGTTGTATAGTTACAATTTGCTAAGAGAACAGATCTTAAGCATATTCACCACAAACAAAAAGGTTAACAATATGAGGTGATGGGTGTGTTAATTAACCTGATTGTGGTAATCCTTTTACAAAGTATATCATCATGTTGCACACTTTAAATATATACAATTTTATTTGTCAAGTATACCTCAATAAAGCTGGAGAAAATAAAATAAACCAGCCTATAACCAGTATCCCAGAGACCCCTCATACCCCTTCTAGTCCCTTCCTGCCTCAGGGGTAGGCATACTCCTGACTCCGAGCACCAGAGGTTATTTTCCCTGTCCTAAAACCAGAAAAATATGATAGAACCAGAGTGTCGGCTCTTTTTTGTCTCCATTCCTTTGGCCAGCATGATGTATGTGAGTTTCATTCATGTTGTGTGTTGTAGTTTGGTCATCCTCGTTGCGTGAACACATCATGATTTACTTATCCATTCTGCTGTTCATGGGCATTGGGGTCATTTTCCAAGTGGGGCTGGGGCAAATCGTGCTGGGACGAATGCTCTTTGTGTATGTCTTTTGGTGGGCGCATGGACACATTGCATTGAGTGTATACTTAAGAGTAGAATTGCTAGGTCATAGGATATGTTGATATTCAGTTTTAGGTGAACTTTTAAAACATTATTTAAAATTGAGAAACATTATGGGAAGTAATATGAAATACCCATGAACCTGCCACAGAGATTACACAAATGCTAACATTTTCCCATATTTCCTTTATTTCTCTCTTTCATATATTTAAAATATACAAACTTCCAAATATAGCGAAAACCCCATCTTGCCCTCCCTCTCTGCTTCTCCCCTGTCCTCCCCTCAGGGAATGGCAGGTCATCTTCTTTACCTTTTAGGTTTGTACTACATATGTAGGGTTCCATAAAACATATACACCATTGTTTTGAATGTTTTTAAAGTTTACGAAGGTGGCTGCGTCCTGTATATATCCTTTTGTAACTTACTTTTATTCACTCAATATTATTTGTTTGCAATAGCAAAGCAGTAGAAATCACCTAAATGTCCTTCCATCGAAGGTTTAGTCCACTGACTGAAGTAAATTGACATGTATCAACATGTATAAATATAGAAAACATGGGTACCTTGATGTGGGTTTTTTTGTACTTTGATAGGCTAAGTGTGAGAGGTGTGTGTGAGAAACATTGTATGTGTGTGTGTGTAAATATGTATGTATGTGTGTGAGTGTATATGATTGTGTGTGCATGTGAGAGTGTGTGAGCCCTTGTTCCTGAGTTCAGTGTGTCCCCGGCTGCCCTTGTGAGGTCCAGTTATTCTGGGAGCTTCAAATGCCAAGTGTCTGAGAGACTGTGATGGCCAGGCACAGGCGCCCACTCAAACCAGCCAGATTCAAAGGGGGATTTTTAATGAAGAGCAGAAAGTCCTCACAGCAAGCTGTGAGCCTTGGGGAGGGGCACAGGGCAGCCACAGGCCCAAAGCCCTGTGTGGCCCCCACCCTGTGCTTTGCCATTGCCACGTACTGGCAGTGCTCCACATCTGTGCTGCTTTTTGGTTGGATACTTGTGACTTGGGCTCTTGGCTGTCTCAGTCAAGGCTCTGTGGTTGCAACAGGCAAAGCAGGCTTATCTGTCAGGCCACCACCAGCAGCCTCAAGCCACAGGGACCAAAGTGCAGCTGGTCTCCTTGGAACCGGGGCTGGAATGCACGCCACTGCAGTGACATTCTTGGTTCTCAGAGACTACATGGGCCTGCATAGCCAGCTGCTCTGGGACTTTGTTCCCCAGCTCCTGGCTGCCACATGCTCTCAGTTAAGCAGAAGCTGTGAGAGGACCTGGCGAGACCTGTCACCTCCGAGTGCCAATCCTTGGTGAGAACAACTGATGGGTTATCTTCAGTGATGGGTTGGCTAGCTTGGGTCTAGAACCCATGCTTCACCCCTGAGACTTGGGTGGTCTGTGTCATGAGGTCTGGTGGGTATGGCAGGCTATTGGCAATTACGGTCAGAACATAATGACCCGCTCTCAGAATTCTTCACCCAGCTGCAACTCTGGGGCAAGAGGGGGGATTGCATGCCCAAGAATGTGAGGCATTCATGCATTCTGGCTATCTGGTTGCTCCTTTCTTAATGAAGTTGCCAACTATGATGGCATTGCTGGCCCGCCCCCAGGTCTGTTGGTTCCTTCTGACAGGTCCGTGGGCCCAGCCCCATGTTCAGAGGGTTCTGCTGCCAATAGCTGCAACCTTCAGTGCATTGCCCTCAGGCACTGGTGCCTTCCCAGAGGCATGGACAGCTGAGATGGAAGTGCCTCGTTGTCTGTTTCCCTCCTCACCCCCACCCAGGTCACCCATAGCCAGTGACTGGTGTGGAGTAAAAAAACCGTCAGCTCCATTCTGTGGAGGTAGGACAGACTCTGGGGTGTAAGTTGTCCCCCAGAGGCACCCCCGCCCCACCACTGCATGAGGCTGGGACTTGGAGTTTGCATCGTCACCTAGCTTCCTCTGCTTTCCTGTTTTGCTTCTCCCCGGAACAGAAGGCAGACCTGGTTCCCTCCTGTTTCAAACCTGCAAGCTTTTCCTCACATTTTACCCTCTCTAAGACTCAATGTCATCATCTGAGACATGGGGACACTAAAAGAATCACCTCAGAGGACTTTGTGAGCATTTAATGAGGTAATGCTTTGAAAGCACTTAGCGGGCACATAGTAATCACTTAAATGGTGGCTCCAGGGTTGTAAATGAATTAAGAATATAATGTGTGTCCTTTGTGCCTGGCACTAAGGAGATGGTCAATGTATTTCCACGCCTTTCCTCTCTCTTTTCCAGGGCAGCCACTATAGGTACTTATGGTTAATTTTTAATGCAACGCGCAGTCAACATGGCAGGTCTGATCAGGATGTAACCATCCAATGGCAAAAGAATAAAAAGACAAATGCTGAAGAAATGCAAGATGGTGATCACCTCCACATAACTCACTTCTGGGGTTAATTTTAATTTTTTCTCTTTTTATTTGTATATTTTCCCACTAAAAGTTTTAATTAAAAAATATACAGACCCTGGGGACTTACGATAAATTTGAGCACAAAGCTCCTTGGAGAAAATGTCTTGGCTAAATAGATGGAACAGATTATTATTATTTATTATTATTTCCATTCCAAGAAATGGCGAACATTCTTCTGCACTTTTCTTAGTGATTTGTGGCTTCTGCAACTCTGGCCCATGCTACAGGGAGAGGAGAGTGATGCCTTTTTGCTTTTAGAGATGCCCCGGCTTTGTGCTCAGGGAGGGGAAGCAGGCATGCTATGCACAGCTGTCTCTCCTCTGCATTTATTACTGCGGCGTGTACCTCCCTGGGGCCTCTTCCTTTTCCAAACCAAATAATTCAGACCCCGTTGTTTACCTCTGCAGAGCGATCAAGGTTACACCCACAGTAAAACGGAGAAAAGTGACCCAGAAGCTTGGCCCTGAGTCCCACCCTGACTTGGGGATGGCTGCCAAGTTAATTCCCAGCCATGGGAATTACCTTCCAGGCTTGGGAACACCAGGCCTCTCAGCTGCGGAGTGATTTATGTGCCCAAGAGACCCCTCTCCTCCTTTCCCATGACTCCTTGTCTGGAGTCCTCTTCTACCCTGGCCAGACTGAGTCCCCAAGCCATGGGGAAACAAGTGGGGAAATTGAGGCAGAGGGGAGGGAGGGAAAGGTCTGAGAGGTATGTGTCTGAGGCAGATGGGAGGTAGTGAGGGTGACAGTATGCAGAAGCATCATAAGGGGTTCAAGCAGGCTCTGCCATGGCCACCTCTGCCACTCACCTCTCTTCTTTTCCCCCTCTCTCCCTCCTTCTCATTTAGCCACCAGGCATGACCTCCTCTTTTATATTGAGCACGGACATTGCAGAGAAAACTTTCCAGGCCATCCCTTGGGGTTTGGGTCCCACCAAAAGCAGAGCCTGGACCCAGATTTTAGTGCAAATCATTCATTTGGAAGGAGATTGCAGGAAAAACCAGTAGGAGAGTGAGAAATTGAGGCAGGATGGAAAGGAACCACCAGCGTGTTATCAAGTTAGTTACCACGCCTGAGGGCAACTGGGGCTCAGTCCCCCTGAGAACTCTGGGAGATGCTGTAGAATATGTACTTTAGGATTCTCCCAACTGAGGATCAAGGAGCTGGGCTGTCAGTCATTGGTTGACAGCTGCTCTGGGGGAGGGGGTGGCTAGATTTCTCGGAATTCCAGCCTGCTGCAGTCATGGGCACAGTGGGTTCCAGTAGCCAGAAGCTCTCAGGCAGACATGAAGTGCTGGCAATTGGAAGGCAGGGTCATGTGCATGGATATGTTAAGTGCGGAGAGGGTGAGGGCGGGGCACCGTGGCTTTGGCTTCGGCTTCGGCTTCGGCGACACCAACTCAGAATGGTATTTCTTGTCTCTGTGCTCACAGTCATGATTACTTTTTTTTAAACTTTGTTCCTCTCCCAAATTGTTATTTGAGGAACACTGGCTCTGGGAAATGCTCTATGAGCAGAGGCCAGTCCTGGGATCAAAAGATTAGTGGATATGCTGCGTTTTAGATTACCTTTTACAGGTGAGGAGGTCTCTGGTTCCCCTCTTTAGTCCAGAAGCTTCACTGCCTCACTCAGCACCACCTGGAAACCTTGGGCTTGAATTTAAGATGAAGTGGGATTTCTTGTCCCAGCATTTGAAACCGGCTTTGTGACAATATCTTTCAAAAATGGAAACTGGTTGGCTTTGCTTACCTAGACTTTTTCAAATGGAAAGACCAATGAGCACTTATTTGCTGGAACACATACTTACTTTAAGCTCTGTGGACTAGCGTTCCATGCAACACCCCAGAAAGCACAGATTTAGCAAATTAATCAATATCATGTCTTGTGACGTCCCCTATACACCTTACACGGAGGGGGTGTTATGGGAAGGCGTTGGCACCTGGAGATGGATAGTGAGGACTCGTCTGAGGAACCATTTAGGGAACATGAATGCCTGGCTCAGGGGAGATGGGACAGCTGCCTGCGAACGTGCCAGGAGTACAAACGTCACAGGAAGCTGAATTTCAGCTCAAAGTCAGAGAGAGATTTTTTTCTCACAATTAGAACTGAAAACACCAGACTGCCTGCATGGTCAGGCCCTAAGCTCCCTATCTCCGTGCTTATTTCAGCAGATGCTGGATCTGTTGGGAATAGGGTAGGGGGAATTCTTGCCTTGGGTGGGAATTGGGTCAGGAGCCTTTCGGCCCCTCCTGTGTCTCAGATTTTTTTTGTGCTAGGCTGGAAGGCATTGATTCTCAGCTAGCCTGAGAGCTACCTGAGAGATGAGTTGTGTTTTACATTTCTTATTTCCCTCAGTATCTGGACTGGTTCTGGGCATATAGTGGACCACCAAAAAAAATTGTTGAATGGCTAAATGAATGGATGAACGGGTTTCTGGGGGCCCACTGGCAAAGCGTCACTTTGGCAAGACTGACGTGAGATGTTTAGAACATGGTCCCCACACTAGCAGACCATACCTTTATAGATTTAACATGAGGTTCAACCTTGAGCATGAAAAATTAAAGCGACATATGATAATATAGCTATGAGTTTCAGATTATTATCATGGTCCAGCCATTGTCCAAATTTTCTTCTTGTAACTTTCCTCATAGCATTCCTGTGAGGTAGGTATCATCATTATGACTATTTTCTCAATGAAAAGACTGAAGCTTAGAGAGGTCACCAGGCCGGGTAGTGGCAAGACTTGGATTTGGACCTGTCCTGCCCGTCTGCCTCTAAGACTGGGACCAGAGCCACCCTCACCACATTTCTTAGGCTTGAGACCCTTATCTCCACTCCAGAAATATTCTAATGCATCACACAGCCCACAGGACAGGGGGTGAAGAGGATTTCACACTTGCCATTACAAATGGGGATACTGAGGCCTGAGAGAGCGAGAGCGAGAGCGAGAGCGAGAGCGAGAGCGAGAGNGAGAGCGAGAGCGAGAGCGAGAGAGAGAGAGAGAGAGAGAGAGAGAGAGAGAGAGAGAGAGAGGCTTATTTGTTAGGCAGATAGCAGGTAGTGAGAAAGAGAGCAAACCCAGGGCAGGAATTGCTCAGTGGACCCCTTGGCTCCATTTCCCAGCCCTGTATGGGTGGAATTGCCTCCCTTCTAGCTCAAGATGTGGTGAGAAGGAGGACAAGGAGTCACAGTAGCCTCAGGGAGGGGGAAGTCATCTAATTAGTATAATTACTATTTTGGGTGCATGAAGGTGTCTGGACCATCTGTAAGCCCCTGGAAGTGGTTAGGGCTGCAGCCCTTCATGACACGCAGGCTGCACACTGTATATGTCTCTGATTTAACGGAGATATTTGTTGTATTGGTCATGGCCTGAGAACACACCTGAGGAGGTCGCTTTTTCCCATGTCCCTTCTTTTTTTTTTTTAAAGATTTTTATTGGGGAATTGGGGGGACGGGAACAGACAAGTTGCTGTCATTGTGTTCTTCAGTTTAGTTGTTGGCCCATGTCCCCTCTTTAGTCCAGAAGCTTCCCTGCCTCATTCAGCACCCCCTGAAAACTTGGGCTTGAATTTAAGATAACGTGGGAAATCTTGTCCCAGCATTTGAAATATAGGTAACACCAGTCCCTGATCTTCCTCCTCCCTCTGTCCCCCATCTTTACAAAATAAAACATGCTGATGCTCAGATGTGGCTAAATTTTGTAGGGATCCCTGTGTTAGATTGCATAAATGATTCCAATTTTTCCCCTCTCCCTCTACCCATCTCCATTACCATTCCTCCCATTAGAGATGGGAGTCTATTTCCCATCCCATTGATGCTGGACTTAGCTGTGTAACTTGCTGTGACCATTGGTGTGTAGACAGAAGTGA